TGTGTGAGAGTGTGTTTTGTGTGTGAGTGTGTTTTGTGTGTATGTGTGTGTTTTGTGTGTGAGTGTGTTCGTTATTTTTTAGGGGGACATTTATTTTAATAAAGTTTTAAAACGTCATCACAGAGTCAGCAAACGAGTTGTTTGGAAAGGTACACAGGAAAATCCTCAAAATGTGATAAAAGGAGGGATCTAGAGAAAAGCAAGCACACGCCCTCGGTAGCTAAAGACTACAGGGAAGCCAATGAAAAGATTAGGAAGAGCATGAATAAAACCAAAGAAGATTGGATTGAGAAACAGCGTAAGGAAATTGGGGAACATTTGGAGAAGAACAGCAGCAAACAAGCATTCCAAACAGTAAAGAAACTAACAAAACCAAGGCAATCACGAGTTAGCATCATCCAACACAAAGCTGGGAACTGCCTTACAGAAGAAGAGGACATCCTGAAAAGATGGACTGAGTACTGTTCAGACCTTTATAACTACCAATCCAAAGATGACCCCATGTAACATCTTGCCATGAATCAACATACAAATATATTTTGTAATACTTTCCAACCCTTAAAGAAGGAGTAGAGACAGCCATTATATCACTGAAAATGGAAAGGCAGGAGGAGTTGACAATATCCCTGCAGAAGTAATTAAGCATGGAGGAGAGACAGCAGAGGACATCCTAACTAACATCTGCAATTAAAATCTTTAAGACAGCTGAATAGCCCACACTCTGGATGCAATCTCTTACCATCACTCTCCCCAAGAGAAAGGCAATCTACAGTTATGACACAATTATCGAACTATTAGCCTTGATAAGCCATGCATGCAAAGTGATGCTGAAAGTTATCACGAACCGCTTGAGACCTCAGGCAGAAGAAATAATTGCTGAAGAGCAAGCGGGTTCAGATGGAAAAAGTACAATACAACAGATATTCAACCTTGGAGTTCTGTGCAAGAAATACTGTACTGTAAACACCAGCAAGAAATTTTCCATGTGTTCATTGATTTCAAAAAGGCATTTGATCGTGTGTGGTATGATGCATTATGGGCAACAATGAAGAACCTCAACATGGGCCGAAAGCTGATAGAGTTGATCCAACAGCTATACAACAAAGCCACCAGTGCAGTCCTCGCCCAAAGGAAAATTGAAGAATGGTTCCTCACTACCGTCGGTGTACGCCAAGGTTGCCTGCTATCACCTACCCTGTTCAACATCTTCCTTGAACAAATCATGACTGGTGCCCTTGAAGATTACACGAGCCCACTTTGTAACGGAGGACGAATAGCTACTACATGTATTACTAATCTCAGGATTTCCCATGACATTGACGGACTTGCAGGAAATGAAGAAGAGCTCGCCAGACTGGTGAAATGACTGGATGAAACATCAATCAGATACGGCATGGAAATTAATGCCGAGAAATAAAGATAATGGGAAATGGTGACCAACCCATTAAAAGCAAAATTACGATCAAAGGTCAACAGCTTGAAACAGTCTACCAGTTCAAGTACCTTCGTGCTATCATCAGCCAAGAAGGATCCAAGCAAAGCAAGAATTGCACAAACAACAGCGGCGCTTACAAACCTAGGATCAATACATGGAAAAATAGAAACACCTCGGTCAACTACAAAATCAGACTACCCTATGCCCGCGTCCATCCTTCTGTATACTTGGACTTTGACGGTAGAGCTTCTGAGGAAGATCCAAGCAGCCGAAATGAAATGCTTTTGACGACTCTTTGGCATCTCATAAAATAGATACAATGACCACATCACAAATGAGGAAGTGCGCAGTAGAGTGAAACAACACATGATCCACTATTTAGACTTGCTGTCTACTGTGAAGTCGAAGAAAACTGAAATAGTGCGGCCATGTAACAAGATCGTGTGGCCTATCCAAGACTATTTTTCAGGGAACTGTGCAGGGGAGGAGAAGGAGAGGAAGGCAAAGAAAGAGGAGGACCGATAACATTGCGGAGTGGACAGGGCATTCTTTGAATTCTTTCGCCCAAACTCAAGCGCTCGAAAAAGAAGAAAAAAAGTGTTTTAAAGTGAAAAGTGGAGGCACCTGACGAGGCTGTCTATCGTACCCGTACGATCCTCGTGGATTATGGGATCAGAGAGTAGATCACAGACGCCGGACATGAGAGAGAGAGAGAGAGAGAGAGACTGAGAGAGAGAGAGAGAAAGAGAGAGAGAGAGAGAGAGAGAGAGAGAGAGAGAGAGAGAGAGAGAGAGAGTAAATGACCAATCACAAATACCAATTAAATTCTATGCCCAATTGGAGGCAGAGAAGATCCCATCCTCATTTTTTCTTGTACTTGTAGTTTTGCAGTTGTCATGTAGTGCTGCAACGGTCACTTCCAGCTAGAACGAAAGAAATTGGTACACGTAGTTTCTTCTCATTTCTGTTCCAGTCGGTTTCCCAAAAAGACGAGAGAGAGAAAATCTCAGAAAAAGAAGGCTCAGGAATTCCCGCAGTGACCAAAAAGTAAGTACACGTTAAAATGGCATTTAATTTATATTCTACACGTAAACGCTATTTTTTAAAAATTGGGGTTAGGGGAGGTCAGGGTGGATGGGATTGTAGGATGCACGTGACATGTGTACTTAAATCATTAAAAGAAAATTCAAGGAAATGCATGCCCCCCCCCCCCCCCCTTCCGACACACATACACACACACGCGCACTCGCACGGTAGTAGACTAGTACTACATGTAGTACACCACCAGTTATACAGTATTACATTTATTTTTTTTTTTTAAATTATTATTATTATTATTATTATTATTATTATTATTATTATTATGATTATGATTATGGTGATGATGATGATGATTACTATTATTATTATTATTATTGTCAGACCAGTAGCCTACGTTGGTAGACCGTCAAGAGGAGAAAAAAAGGAGACGTCGCTGTTGACTGTCAAGTAGGCCTACGGTCAAGAGGGCTGGCACCCATATAATATGAAAGTGCCCACAGCAAAATCTTATAATTTCTAAGTTGGGTGGAAGAGCTATGTTTCCTTCTATG